CATTTGATATCATCATTTATCACATACTTCCATGACACTCTTGTCAGTCGGCTACAACTGCCAAGAATTAACGCGATTGGCGAAGCGTAGTGACAGCGGGCCAATAGAGAGCAGGATACTTGCCATAATGCGGTTTGCGCGCCAATTTTCGTACGTGCGTTAATCAAGCCGAATAGTTTGGCCGAATATTCGGCTATTCGGCCACGCTCCTGGCCGAATATTCGGTATTCGGCCTGAGGCCGAATATACTATTCGTTACAACACTAATTTTTACTAAGCAAAACTCAAGGTGAGCAAAAATAAGCAAATTTTTTCAACGATAGGGCTATATTGGTATTGTATTTTATTCTTATCAGATAACTCGATTTACAGGAGTCGTTGTGATTTTATAAGACAGATTTAATATCAATATTTTAAAAATTAATACAATAGTCGCATTTTCTCAATTATAATGCACACTTTCTTTTTTCTGACTTAACAAATTCGACTTCATTGTTTTTCATTCGCTTCTCAATTACGTGTATTACGTCATCAATATACAAGCACATCGTATCTCTACATCACTTTGGTTTTGGTATTCATTAGTTTAATCTTATTTTAACTTTAAAAATATTGTATTTTTTAATATTTAATATTTTCTAAAGTACAATAAGAAAAATTATTAATTAATAATAAAACAATTTTATTATTTTTTCTCATTATACGATTTCATTACATTCTACGATTGTCATTGCGGAATCGAAAAAGGAAGTAAAACTGATTTTTGCATTAATGTGTTTATTGTTTTTTGAATATTTTGCATGCAAAAATTACTTGGATATTATTTTTCTAAAAATATTGTGGAAATAAGGTAGGTTGATACAGAAACTATTTATCTCACACATACTGTATATGAGCTTCAAAATAAAATAAATAAATAAATAAAAATAAATTTTATCAAATGATGAGATCAGCCAATTAATTGTAATTTGTAATTGATTGTAATTTACAATTAATTGTAATTGTAACCCTACCACCCTTTCTCTCACATATAATCATGTATGGTAGGTATATAGATGACATTATAATTCTCTGGAAAACACCACTGGACTTAAGACAATTTAAGACAGCCATGAACAACTACCCTTATGGCCTTTATTTGGAATTGGAGCAGCATAGTGAAGAAAAAATCCACTACTTAGATATAGAAATTGAAATTAAAGAAAGAACAATACAAACAAAAGTTTATAGAAAACCCACAATTAATTGTATCCTGTGCAATATTTTATATTCCCCAAGGAAAAATACTATAGGTCTATGGTAAAATCAATTTCATTTTTCAAACTTTCCCGCTAATTGCTGTTGTGATAACTTTAGCATAATCTTCCAACCACAGCACTTTGCATTTCTTTCATTTTTCAGACAATTTCGAAAAATCTGNACCATTCATTACAGGTTGAGAAACACTGGTGGTTGTGAATTCATGCCTTACCAGAGGACTAGCCAAGTGGATTTTCTTATGTCTAACACCTAAATAGGGACCAGTTTCCCAAAGAAATGCACTCCTTAACTGACAGATTATAGTCCAAATCCAGACCACAGGATGGTTTTGTCGGAACTGCTTGCCAATTGAAAGTTTTCAAGCCATTCCATTTTTTTTATTTGGTTTTCTCCCACACAAATTATATCAAATATAAGTAGAAGATCAATATACAATTAATGTCATTTGGAACAGTGTCCAAATTACAAAGATGTCATATACACCTGATTTTACAGGTAGTCATTTAATACAGGTAACTTATACGGAAACTCTATGGATAAACTATTCAGTGCCAGAAATTTATGCCTGTTTTGACAGGTGCCCATCGAATGCAGGTGGTCGCCTAAGCAGTTTTCACTGTATACTCATATTATTAATCTTATTTTGAATTATAATATGTATTAATGTCTAAAGAAATACAAACCTATGTTTCATATAAAGTAATTAAAAACATCTGAATCCGAGATAAGTATTTGATTGTTCACGTTTTTACTGATGAGATATGACAGTCATGTAAATAAGACAGTATGAGTACCATACTGTTTTTCATAGAGAGTCATATGGTTGAAATATCAAACTTTGATTGATATAGTGATTTCAATGCTCTCTATGTAATTATATATATGTAGTTTATTCATATTTTATGATTTGATTGTATTAAAAGTAACCAATAACAAATAATATACAGTAAGACCCTGCTTAACGTGGGGATGTGTTCCTAGACGAAAAAGTGCTAAATGAAACAGCGTTAAACGAGGTNAACTGCTTGCCAATTGAAAGTTTTCAAGCCATTCCATTTTTTTAATTTGGTTTTCTCCCACACAAATTATATCAAATATAAGTAGAAGATCAATATACAATTAATGTCATTTGGAACAGTGTCCAAATTACAAAGATGTCATATACACCTGATTTTACAGCTGTATTTAGAGAAAAGAAGTGCAATTTCTCTCATTAATTGTAAAGAATAGTTTGACTTAATAAATAAATACAGTCGACCCTCCTATAATTACGGTCCCTATAATTACGATTCCTATAAAACTACGAAAAAATATACATATTTTGGAAATTTTGAGTTGGATTAGTGTAGAATCGATTAATTTTATGGAAGAAAATCTTTCAAACAGCCGTAGTCCGTAAACTTCACACATGTCGGGCTGTGATTGGAACGACTTGTAAGAAATCAGATTCCTAATAAATTGGAACGTATCTATATCTTATAGGGGGGTCGACTGTAGCATAGCATATTGTATTTTGTATATCTGTAGAGACAGCAGCAGAACTGATGACTCCGTCCTTTCTATCAGTTCAATAGTTGAGTATATGATCCAAACCAGCAATATGCCTGCCACTTCCATATTTGGACCTTGGTACAATTTAATTTAGCAGGGCTGTCTTACAAAAGTTCTCTTGGGAGATACTTTCTCTTGGCAGATTGCCCATGTATTGCATAGTCTTAGCTTATTAATTTTAGGTGGCCACAAATATTTTGTATATTCCATATATATTAAGAGTAAGCTTATTTATATTATTTATAAATGATATGTCAAATATTATCACAGACTGGATTTGTCTTGAGAACAAAGTTTGTGCACCACTGATCCATACCATAAAGATAAATATAAAGAAAATTAGAATTGTATTGGTGAGATTAGCAGTGGGTCACTGGTTAAGTCCTAATTGACCACTTACTCTGCACGGGCAGGTAAGGGCCGATCTCGGGTCGTTGGATGGCTAGGAGGGTAAATCAAGTGGCGAGGGAGGCGAGCAAGTCGGCTGGCTTTCTTTAAATGACAGGTGACAGGTTAACAGAATAGCAAGCATTTATTGATTAACTAAAGCTACTTTGCAAGAATACTAAGGTTAAATGCAGTTATATTAAAATATATACAGAAATTCTTGTTCGAGAGAGAGTGCTTTTACAAATTCTAACCTCTAAATACCTCTCGGCAGAAGGGAGAGTTGGTGAACGTCGTCTATATGGAAGGGTGTGGTGTCTTCTGTGTCTTCTTGCCGATGTCCTCTCTCTGTAGCTGGATCAAGTCCGCTGTAGGAAGGTTTGGGAGTCGAGGTGGGCACTATCACAAATTATAACTTCCTACGACGAATTGCCCTGAGCTTCCAGAGATTCGAGCTTTTACATCATTAGCATGGGAAAACTGTCACATGATTGACTTTTGTTGATGATGACGGTGCATTCTTCATGCCTAACTGTAAACTTTCTCAGCTAGCTGTTATACGATCGGTGAAATCCGATCTAGTTCAAATTCTTCGGGTTTTTTCCAAAGATAATTAACAGAAAATATGGATTTTTAAAAAGTCTGTAAAAATCCATGAGCTCACATATTGCTGAAGGATTTATTTCTTCAAATCTGAAGGTTTTTGTTAACTTTTGAATACAACCCCCTTTTCCTATTTTTACTTAGTCTTGTGTATTGTACCTTTTTCAACTGTATATTTTATTGGAATCTATATGATTGCCTATATTTAGAATTGGTTTGAATCTTGCAATAAATTAAGTTGCACTGATATTGAAAATACTTGAAAAGTCTTCATAATAATTTATTTTAAAATGCTTATCACACAGTACAATATTAAAATATTTAGATATAAAATAAATATAATGTTTCATAGAAAAACATTTATGAAACATTATATTTGAAATACAAATTTCAGTCATGTAAAATTGTAGAAAACTAATCCTTATTTACAAGATTTTTAAGGATGAGATACACTCATAAATGGGAGTCACACTGAGTTATGAAAAGAATCATTATTTATTTTCATAACCTGTAATATGTTCTTTTTGTATTGTCCATTGAAATTTCTGTCAGGAACATTATTTCATCATGAATTTGGAATATATAGTAGGTTCTTATTATAAATGGACTCATTGTTAATGGATTAATCAGGAGAGGGAGTATCCATTATTATTGAAAGATCATTAAATTTAATGTATTTTAAAAAATAATATTAATAACTATCTTATAATATACAGGATGTATTAAAATGTTATTTTAATGTATAAATATGAATAAAATTATTATAATGTATTATTGTTTTTCTCATTGAGTATTTTATACTCATTGATCCAACCTTTTATGCTCTATTCATGATAAAAGTTCTATATTTTTCCTTTAGGACCAAAATTTTTTGCCCATTAAATCCAAAGTTTGTTAAATGAGGAGTCTACTGTACTATATTATAAATTTAGATTGCTTATAGATTTTTGAAGATTTGATTGTATTAAGTTTATTAATTTGAGAATTTATTGTAAAATTTACTTTATTTTTTTTATCTAGATGAATTAATTCAGTATCTGAAAGAAATAGCATCATCAGCTCCACTATTACCATTTTTATATTATCATATACCTTCATTTAATGGAGTAGAAGGTGAGAATTTAATTTTCTACTTTTTTTTAAGCATAAATTTATTAATAACTGTTCATTTTATTTACTTTAAGTGAGTATAAGCAAGCTACTTCATGATGGAAAGCAACAGATTCCAACATTCTGTGGGGCAAAATACACAAGCGGTGACTGTAAAGAATTAATGAAAACTTTGCAGCTTGGAAAATTTAAAATTTTATCAGGATTTGATGATGTAAGTAACATTGTTTAAAAACATAAATTTCCTTTATGTTTAATTTTAAACTTTAATATTCAATCTTTAGATTCTTTTAACTGGTTTGCCAATGGGTGTGACTGCAGCTGTTGGAGCAACATATAATTTTATGCCTTTACCTTCAAACAGAATTTTAGAGTCATTTGCTGCTGGTGATGAAACGATAGCATGGGAAGAACAAGTAAATATCAAAATTTTACATTTAAATAATGATTAAATGAAATATATCTACAGTCGACCCCCCTATAACGTACGTTCTAATAACGACAATTCCTATAACGTAACGAAAAAATTGTACAAACTCTCGTAAAACATACCTCCCATAACGTCGTTTCGCGACAAGATTGATAGAGTCTGGACCAATAGTGGATGAGCAGCCGAACTACTTTCCTCCGACCCTGCGCCACGCTACGGAGCGGCTAAATTGAGTTTGCTATCGTCTGTTTAGTATTATATATAAATTATATATAAATTAGGTACTGTACATATAATTATATATTAATTATATATAAATTAGCTACTGTATATATAATTATATATTAACTTAATTTATTGTAAGTTTATTATAATTATATATATGCTTTCTGCCGCCTGGCAACACGCTACGGAGATTTTAGGCTAGTAAGTTGAGTTTATTATCGTCTGCACAGTATGTAAATTAGGTACCGTAAGTCTAATACAGCACTAATTTTATACATTTCTTGTGAAAGAAACACTTCTTATTCAACGGCCATAAAAATTATTTATATTAATGATGTCTCCAAAGGTCAAGTTATTTTTCTGCGAAAAATTCGTTATCAGAAATCGCAGCTGCCGTTTCGTGTGCTGTTCTGCGACGAAAACAAGCTTTGAACAACGGCGTAGTCAAACAGTGCACACTCGGTAAGTAATCCTACAATTTTTTGTTTATAGCATAGTTTATACGGATTATTCCCAAAAAATTATACGTGTTTTGGAAATGTTGAGTCGAATTAGTCTAGAATCGGTTAATTTTATAGAAGAAAACCTTTCGAACAGCCTTAGTCCGTAAAGTTCCCACCTATCGGGCTGCGATTGGCTCACTCCTACAACGTAATTTTCGGTTAGCGTGGAACGTATCTAAGCGTTATAGGGGGGTCTACTGTATTTTCATTTGTATAAATTTGGCATTAAAAATTAATTAAATCCATATTCCTTGGTAATATAAACATAATATAGCACTAAAACCTTCTAAAATCAGCAAAAATTTAATTATCATATCTTTTCAATCTTAAAAGGCCTTCATCAAGCAAATATAACTACTGTAATTAGATACAGAGAACCAAGATTCAAATGGAGTTCTTCAAATCATACAAAATTAAACTTTGTCATGGAGCTCTATAATTGGTGTTTCCAATCACAGAGCAGGAGAGAAGATATAATAAAATACAAATAAAAATGTGTCAATATACATTATTACAGTAAAGGACCTGTAAGACAAAAAACTATCAAAACACTGTCTAGTGATAGGCTCAATTGTGTTCATGTGCTTAGTGTAACTGAAGTACAACTTCCAGTTTCATACTACAGTTTCCACTTCATTTGAAATAGTTGTTCCTTAATCATGTTGGGCTGGAAGAAGCTAGAATCTTCAAATGTACCTGTGAGAATCCAGGATTTACAGTTCATTACTGTTAACCCTTTTTTTCAGCATCAGACTCATGAAGCCCACTCATGTTGTCATTGGATGGCTTGGATTCGAGTGGAAGGAGGGGTCACAAGTGAATCGACAGGTGACCAGTCCTCACAATAACTGATATCGACATCAGTTAAACAAAACAACAAATTTAATGAGTATAATAAAGCCTTGGGTAAGTACATGTAAGGAGGTTACAATCAATAAGTAAGCTACTTAACAACTAATACAGTGAGAGAGAGTTTACATCCATCTATAATACCTCTTAAATGGACCAATGTCTGTCTAATCCTAGTTATTTGATCATCTGGAAATGGTCGGGGATCCTTTCAGTGGAGGAGACAGGAGTTGGTGAGACAAGCTTTGGTCCAACTTAGAGGGTGGAGTTTACCTTGACCCTTGGGTGCAAGCCCGTTATATCCCCATTGGGTGTGGGAACTTAATCAGTTGACTCTATGCTTTTACTGCAATTTCATTCCAGTATGTGCCATTGGTGGACCAACTAGAGCCGTGGAAATTTGACAGTTTGGACAGAAAGGGTAATTGTTTAGGTGACGATGTTCACACATCAACAGTTAGTTGTTATGATTTATCAAGTAAACTTTCCCAAAGGAAAGAGAGGTGTCTCCAGGATCTCACATACTCATTACATATTCATGTTAAAGCACATGGAGAAACTGGAAATTTATAAATTTGCTAGGAAGGGTTAGTCTATCAACTTCAAAGATCAAGAAACTATTTCCAACTCCTTGAAATTGTAATATGTACAGTGCTGCTGCCTGCTTCTGGTGGAACTAACTGGATGGCGCCATTGTTTTACCCTAAATTACTTTAAATTGAGAAAACTCTCCGAGCTCAAGCTTGGGCTCAACCATCATTGAGCTCATGCCTGGATAAAAAAAAATAAGACAAACTATTCTATGATGCAGATCCCTGTACTATTAGTGTGAAATAATAATCAGAACAATTCTTAATTTATTGTTTTTTAAAAACCTTAATAACTAAAATGTCTTAGGGTTTTTAGGCTTTATCAGACATTAATTTACACCTGATATGGAGATAATTGATGTTTTAGTTTGGTAATCCCGCTTTGACAAACGAGATAAATCTTGCTTGGTCTTTAAATAATCATAAAATATATTCATAAGTCTAATGAATGCAATTATTTAAACCTAATTTTAATTAATTCACTTTCAAACGTGTGTTGTATATCTTAGCTGAAGATAAAAAAATTAAATAAGTCATTCAAAATGATTTCAAACATACTTTAATATGTAAATGATCAGTTTTAAAAATTTATTTATTTACATATATATTTACATTTTAACATTTGTTTTGAAGGTTCAAATGAAACCACCAATCAGCTTTATTTCTTTAGCTTTTATCTTAAAACACTCCAGTTATGGGGGAAAACAGAACGGTTTTAGGCTAAAACTTTTTCCAGCAAAACTTGTGGCGCAATGGGTAATAGCATCAGATCACAGGGCAGTTTTATTCTAGATTTACCCTAAATATAAGACTACCCTAAACATTACCCTTAGAGGTTGAAATTACCCTAGAAATGGTAACATTGACTATGTGTTACCCTATACTCTTGAAAACAAGTGAACCTGTCCAGGATACTTCAAATATTTTAATAGTATTTTGTATTACATGTCCTTTACTGGAATAACTAGGGAGAAGAATTTCAGGTACACACGAATTTTTAAACTTAGCAGGGGGTTTTTGAAGCAGTTTGTACTTTTTGGTTACTTGTTTTGTCTACAACTCAGCAGTAGAGCTTTAAATTTTGGGCCCTCATCCAAATATGGAAATAAAGGCCTTCCTCTGAACCATTGGCCTCTTCAGTGCCTTTCTGAATACTGTTATTATTCATTTCCAATATTTTTTACTTTAATGTATGATTTATACTTTGTTTTGTAGCCTTTTGTTCCCTTGGCAAACTGGACTCCCAGTTGACTTGGGTACCTAGTTGACCTTGGTTTTAAGCAATAGTTTACATGCTATTGCTTAAAACTCCCCCAAATCACCTGCAATGCTAATCTGCAATGGGAGGAAAAGAATCACATGCGAATCAGGAAGATTAGCAGGTTGTATAGAACAAGGAGAATTAATCACATCATATTTTATGAAAGTGTAATTTTTTAAAATACAGAAATCCAGAGAGACAAGTGATAAATTGATTGATGTAGTAAAAGAATATTCAAAGGATCAAATAGCTACAGATGGGTCAGTTGTGAGATGTGGGATTTGTGACATCATACATAGCGTTATGATAAAAACATTGTAAAACATGGATAAAGACACATGTTAAAATTGATAAACACATGAAGAACAATGAATTGAAAAAAGGGGAAAGTATTAATACTTTCAAACAAACATTTATTAATAAATCATTTTAATCAAACAGACAACTTAATTTGTGTCTGTTTTGTGCCAATATCACTGCTGCAGTTATTCAAGTTGATATATCACTCTTCAAAGCTACATTAAAATTACTTAGATAAGTACTATACATTGAGAGAATTGTTTGTGATGAAAGTACATATATTAAATATAAAAAATCTATATACTAAAAGTCAAGTCATAAAAATCAAATAAATTATAAGTGACTTTATATTTTGCTTGACAAAATAACAGATGAAGTAAACAGGTTTGTTCTTAACATTCTAGTTGCACCACTCAATAGAAAAAAAAATTAGGCAAATGTTATTTAAAACTCACTTTCATGAGAAAACTAACTCAGCAACAGTTATGTAGATTTTCAGTAGTATTATGGTAATCCTGTGATTAACTGTTGCTTGTGACAAAGTGGGACTACTTATAATAAATGAGGCAAGTTACAGGCCCCTTTCATTTTCATAGCTTAAGATGTGTATCAGGATTTGAAACACATCACTTTTGTAACTCATCAATTCATAGAATCTGTGAGAGAATTAGAAATGAATTTTGCCTCACAGACGAATATTTAACAGATTTTTAAGATCATCTTAGTAGGAGTGCTGCACAGATATACCAAGAATTTGACCAAACTTTTGTTGTACTTGTTGTACAACAAAAGTGTATCACTACTAGTGTTGGAGGCAACACTAGTAGTGATACATTGGGACTACAGCTTTTTACTGTGAAAACTTTGATCAAATTTCAACTTTCCTGAATTATTTAAGTGAAATATAAAGAAAGCTACAGTGACCTCAGAATGAATTATTTTCACTCATCAGTTCATATCTACAAGTTTCTCATTGAAACTATGACTAAAATTGAAGAGTAACACCTAGAAAAAGAGAAGCAATGGAATCTTGTCAATAAAGTTAAGAATAACTTGGAATGATTTGCAAAAGCTGCTGGAAATTCTGAGCAAAAATCTTGAGAAAATGCCATATAAAGTAAGCTCTTATACAGATTACTGACAAATTAGCTCCTCTCATTTCAGTAGATGTAGAAAAATATTTTTCACTATATAGGCATCTTTTTAGGAAAGAAGAGTATGAATTTTATCATATAATCAGTCAAGAAACATATCCTTCACCACAAGTTTCTGATGTGCTAAAATTAATGGATGGAAAAATGTTATTTCACTTATATTCAACTTAAATCTCATCCTTCTTTAATTTAAATACAGTAGAGTCCCAAAAACTCGACCTAATGTGGACCAAAGGATGGCCAAGTTTGTGAAAATGCCTGGGTTATTGGGAATGGGGTTAAAAAAGAATAAGTACGAGTGTTTCCTCAGAAAATACTGTACTGTACTTGTATGTATTGTTTGCTTGAAAATACAAGAGAATAAACTGCCTAAATACCCTTAAACAAAGGAAAAGTATGTACTTTATGAAGGCATAGAGTCTTTACTACATGAAAATAAAAATTAATGAATACAGTGTACAGTAATTTACCTGATAAGACAGACTCAGAAAAATACTTTAAGAGGCATAAAGCTGTCTATAATGAAAACTAACTAGGGGTTTTTTCACCCTGCCAGGGTGTGGCCAAGTTATCCAGACTGCCAGGTTATCGAGTGCCGAGTTTTCGGTACTCTACTGTAATGTAGAAATGTTCCAGTATCTGTGGTTGTTAAATAAACATGCATCTTTTTCTTTCTTTTTAACAAATTCTTGACCTGAAATTCCTCTCCTTAGTAATAATGCATATTGACACATGTTTATTTGTATTTTATTGTCTCCTGATGTTAAATTGAAATTCCCAAACAGAGAACTCCACAACTCATTTAATTTTGTAAGATTTGAAGCACTCTATTCAAGTCTGGTTCTCCATTCTAATTAGTTATACTTGCCTGACAAAGGCTTTTTAAGAAAGTCAAAAATATTTTTCATTAAAGTTTCATTGATTTTTCTTTCAAAACTGTTTGATTACCATTATTCTTGATATACTTTTGAATTTTGTTCTAAACCATTATTCTTGTGTGTAAGCTAAATATAGTTCAATATCATGCTAAAGAGTTTCTTGGTTAATAAATATGTTATGATTACTGGAATCAAGAAGTTTATTATGTCTACTTTTCATTTATATATAAGAATTAGAATTTAATGGTACAACTACAACTACAGGAAAATGTTTTCTAACAGCAACAGCTATGTGAAAATTGTTCATTGCAGGAATTTTTTATTTGTTAACAAATAATCCTAGAGTAATATTATGCAAAATTGCACACTGTAGAACTAATTTGGAATTTTTAAAAAATCTTGTTCAATTCTAGTCTGGAAAAAGTTTTTAAACACAGTAGAAAAAAATAATGTTAAAGTTCTCTCTGTAACAATAATCACATTAGTTTTTGAAAGTTAGTCATCTGAAAGTATCACTTACATCTATTCTATTATTATTGCTATATTACATTGCTATAAAATGGATCCTGTTAAAGAATACAGTGAGGATTTTCAAAACCAAATTGTGACTTTGATTCTGGGAGGAAAAACTCTGAGCAAAGTTTCTCAACAACTTGGTTGTTCTCTTTTAACAGTAAATTGCACATGGAAGAAATATGAAAGTGTAAAAACATTGAAGAGAACTGGCCAACCAAGAGCAACAAGCAAAATTAAGATTGTGCCTTAAGAATCTACCTACAAAACTGAAAAGTCACATCAAAAGAATTAGAGAAAGTGGGTCAAGAATATGCACAATTTTTTATACAATATAAATTCATTGTTAGAAGAGTGAGAATTTTAAAATTTATGTATAATAATTCTCAAACTATCTTCTTTAAGATTCCGTAGGATTTTTATTGATATTTTGAATATATTGTTATTTAGTAAACATTTTTTAAAAGGTTACAAAAGCACATTTGCCCCACTGGTGAGGCAAAAGTGCATACATGGTGAAGGTTTCATGGTTTGAACCATGAAACCTTCACTGTAATAGTAATTTAAATCATAAATATATTTTAAACTAATTGCAATGTTATTTTAACTGTAAATACATAATTTTAAACAAAAAAATATATATGTAACAACAAAACCTAAAGAAAATTTTGGATGTAATTCCGACAGATGAGGGGCCTTGCCCGAAACGCGTATCGGCCTATGGAAGATTAATAAAAATGATGTAAAATGCCTTGTGTCTATTTATGCACCTAGTACTGAAGAAAAAACCAAAAAATTAAAATATTATATCAGAGAGATAAAAAATGAATCTTACCTCATGATTTCAAAACTATTCATGCCAAGACAGTTATTGTTAAGTCTTCAACAATTCAGCAAGAGAACTTATAAACTAACTCAGTAATGCCAACCTGACATTTATACAACTAATTATATCTCCACTGTGCACGTTTACCCCATTCGCCTCTAATTTGTGTGATGCAGAGCAGATGAAAATTTTAGATAAGAATGTCTTTTGCATAAGAAGAAATTCCCAATTGGTCTTTCTATATGGAGCTGCATGTCAGCAAAAGGCAAGGGAGAATTGTGTATTTGAAAAAAATATATGTAAATGGTAAAGTATAAAAAGAAATTCTGGACACTTTTCTGATTCCTGTTGTGGAAAATCAATTCAGGAATGAAGATGTTTTCCAGGATGATAACGCAAGTTCTGACCATATGAAAAATGTAAAAGAATTTTTGAAAAAGAGAAACATTAAATCTTTACTTTGGCCACCAAACATTCTGGATTTAAATGTTATTGAAAAATGTTAGTGGATGAGAAATGACCTACCACAAAGGAAGAATTAAAAGCTGCTTTGTTGCAGAGTTGGAAGGAAATTAATGATGACTATTGCTCAGAACTTAATAAATCAGTGCCAACCTGCACTAAATGTGTTCAGGCTAAAGGAGGTCCAACAAAATACAGTGGAACCCCGGTTAACGAACGTCCTGGTTAACGACCAAATCAGTTAACGGACTTTTATTTTGCAAAAATTTTGTCTTGGATAACGAACAAAATTCGGATAACGAACGTAACGGTATTTTGTATCAAATTTTAGTTGGTGTTAGGCATGCGCGAGTTAAGCGTTGCTTTTCCGAATGTTTGTGCTATACTTCTTTTTTCAGTTTTGTGACTTATATATTTAATCAATATAGCATCAAAGAATGAAAAAAGTCATAGTGGCAATAGAAAACGACAATGCGCTATCGCATTTGAGAAAAATTTTGATTAAAAGAGTAAGACAATAAACTTTAGATCAATTTCTTGCTCCTTACGGAAAGAGTTTGTTTCTTTGTTAAGTTATGGCAGCGCAACACTTGGGCGATCTGACTACGGGGAATGCCTTCCGGGAGGTGTTTTTAAGGGAAACTGGCCCCTACTTAGGCGTTAAAGACGTGAAGAAATCCCGGAAAACTCCACGTGGCCAGCCCGTCTGAGCAAGGTGCGAACCCACGAACGAACTCCTTGTGTTCAAGGTACGAAGACCATTTAGCCACTGGTGGGATTTTACCGAAAGAGACTTCGACTCGAAGAATATTCCGATGAAGTGCTACCCGTTATTTTTTGGAGGGATTTTCCTTCTAAGCATTAAGGTTCGTATATCGCCACTTTTCTGCCATCAACTACAACAAATGAAGGTATTATTAAACAAAGTTTACATGTTTGTTGCTGTAATGATAGATACTACGTTTTCCTACATTTTCATCAAAGAAAATTACTGTATATTACAAATAAAATGACAAAAATTTCGGAGACTAGAACGGATTAATTGCATTTGCATTAATTTCTATGGGAAAAATTGCTTCGGTTAACGAACAATTCAGTTAACGAACGGAGTCGCGGAACGGATTAAGTTCGTTAACCGGGGTTCCACTGTACTAAAGAATTTTCGTTTTTTTTTTCTATTATGTTGGAGAACTTTTTCTTGAGATGGGAATGTTCAAAAACTTTTTCCAGGCTGGGATTGGACAAGATTTTCTTTTTTTATATTCTGAGTTATTTTTTTCCAGTGTGATATTTTATATAATAAAAACTTAGAAATAAACTCAAGGGTTTTATAACTCTAGGATTATTTGTTAATAAATAAAAAATTCCTGCAATCAACAATTTTCAAATAGCTGTTGCTATTTGAAAACTTTTTCCAGTGATTGTAGAATATTTAATCTATTTGATTAACAGACAGACATTTCTTTTTGAATTAAATTTATACAATTTCTTTTTCGAACAGATGTACGTTCGTCAGGTACTTGATATCATTTCTAAATATGGTATGTTAAATTACTAACAATTTTATTTTCTAAATTAAATTATTCAAATTTTCATTTTTAATAATATACTGAAAATTTATAATTTAAAACTAGGTTCAATGATGGCTGCTCTAAAGACAGTTATGAATCTATTTGGCCCATTTAATGTTGGTGAACCACGTCTTCCATTACTTAGTCTAACTACCCAACAAATTAATAAGTTGAAAGCTGAATTAGAACAAGTTGGTGTAGAAAGATGGTATAAATAATTCTTTTTATCATTTAAAAGTACTGTTAATAAATGAAATTTGATAATGTAAAAAAGATTATAACACAACAATTTGTTAATAGTCATCAATGGAAGGTTGCAATAAATTGTTAATTTTTGTTTTTTATTTCTGTTTTTGATATAAATGTTGTAATAAAATATTTTTAAAAATGTTTGTTGGGCATTTATAATTCATAATCACATGTGAAATATTATAAATAGTATAGCTTTCTTCATATATTTGTTTTATAAGATTTTTTTATGCTGCTTATTTAAAAAAAACTGCACATTGATGATTGTAGATAGAAAATAGTTATCATCAATGATTCTAGTCTGTTTTCAAACATGCTTTAATATTTCAGGATATGCATACTGAGTAGATCTTTTCAATGAAAACAATGTATGCTTTAATATTAGCTCATCAGATTTATTTTATTTATATTATTATTAATTATATTTAATTAAATTAAATTAAGAAAAAAAAGAGGGGTCAATAAAATATCTGAATCCTTTAAGGGGTCAACAGTCAAAAAGGTTTGGGGACTTCCTGCTCTAAATTGTGGCACAACAAATAATTTTTTTTCCAATAAAAATGGAATGTGAATGCTTAATAAACTTTAATTGATTAGGATTATCATATAAATGTAATATATATTTTTTATTTCAGAGATTTAATTATAATTAAGATCAATTTTATTTATTGATTATAATCATTATACATCTACAGAAATTCTAGTTCCTACTATGCTAATTAAGTACAATGCAGTTATTGAAAATTTGCCAACTTATTACATTTAAATATATTGAACTTTCATTGCATATATATATTTATTTATAGAATTACTGTAAAAACTAATAATACTACCCATAAAACAGAGAAAAACTTATTAATTTTTTTTATAAATGTGGTAAATTTTACTGAAATATTAACATTAGTTTTTCAGAGAAGTAAAATGTTAATATTTACATTTAGCTATAATTTAAACTACTTTCAATATTATCCTACAGCAATTAATAGAGCAACATAAATAGCAGAAAAATTTACAGCAAGTTCCAAATTGGCCAAGTGCCATGTTTTTCAGTCAATTGCATAAATTTTTGTAATTCCTAATTTTATAGCCAGACAGGTGTAGCAAATATCAATTTTTTTTTTTTTCCAATATCTGGTAGTTTTGTTACACATAAAATATATTTTTATTTTTAAACATTTATTTTAGGTACATGCGTTTCATTAGACTGACAGTTCAATAAATTGAAAATTGTTATAAAAAGTCAGATCAGTTAAATTTAGGATTTTTAACAACTGCATTTAAACAAATTATAATACTTTATGTAATAAAAACCTGTTTTGATGAACAAATTTCTTTATGCATAAATTTAATGCTTTGTATTGATTTTAACAAAAACATTAATTAATCTAACTAATTAGAGCATTAATCAAATACTTAAAATAATTGCATCTAAATATGTGCAATTTTCTTTATTAATTGGAGCAAAAATGCTTGAAAAATATTTCATTCATTATATCTTGCATTAGAAATCAAAAAGCATAAAAGAATTATTGAGATTTATAGATAATTGCTCTTCAGTTCACATGTAATGAAAGGGAACATAAAGTACTTATAAAATTTTTGATTTCTTTGTATGATTTTTAACTTCAATATCTAATTCAAGGAATTTGTATGTAAAGATATCATATTAAATCAAATTTAAATTAATCTGATGAACCAATATAGTTGCCATTTGTAAAATATTTCATACAATTTATTAATAAAAAGTGTAATATGAAGTTAATGTTAATAGTAATATTTATAATAGAAATAGAGATGATTTAATATGTGTATAAGGGTGAATCAATAAATAACCAGCCAAAAGCAATAGCATGGCTGGTTGCCTCGACTAGTTATTTATTGATCCACTTTGTATATAGATAATGCATAATCTAACATATCTCAGGACAAAACAATACAGAAGACAGTTTAAAAAGTAGATTTATAAATGCAGATCTTTATCTTCAGTTTCGCTGTCGTTTGCAAAAGCAAAAGATTTCTATATTAGTTTGGCTTCGATTCATCTCTTGTCTATTATTTTTCCTATAGTGATATTTCTGTTTTTATATTAAAAAGATCAATTGTGTGATATCTTCTATTGAAATGTAATTGATTCATTTTAGTTTTTTAATCGATTTTCGAATGACGTGACAATGTTTGATCAAATATAATGGATATGTAGTGAAAAGAAGCAGCCATGAATAGATGGATAAACGATGTGTCATTGACCTTGCAATACTTACAGTTGATAGCGAATAAAGATAAGAATTTTTCATTCAAAAGGTTAGAGTTTGAGAGGGTTATGGAAATTATGACTACCGTTCTTGTAATGAAAAGTGCTTTATCGAGGTTTCATGTGAATACAGATCCAAATTACTGTAACGTTATTATATACTAATTTTTATTTTGATTGAAGCTCTATTGTAGAAAAACGATTTTTTGCGAAAGGTTAAATATGGAGTTTAAAGAATAGAGAGCATAGTGTTTAGAGAATTAGTTTTCAATTTGCATAAAATTAGAAACTTCAGCATTGTTGAGAGGAAGTTTAGAAACAATGCAACGTATCTGTGTCTCATTTTTTCTTTAGAATTACGAGTTTATTGCAGAAGAGTTCTTATTTCGGGTGACAAAAGGTTTTTGTGCTGAAAATGACGTATATCACACACGAACTAGGTAATATATTTTGTAACTTGACTACAGTTTTGTGTCTAAAAGTGGCATCAAAAGTTGCGGGAACACAATTGTAAGGTCGCCTTTCAGTTTTCAAACCTGAAAATTTAAACAGCATTCATTTTTTTTTTCTTTTTTAAATATATCCTTTTTATTTACTGCGTTTCAGATTTTAAATTACATTTGTAATTCGACTAAGGATCGTATTTTGATGATAGTTATAATTGATAGTATAGTCGGCCTTCCACATTCGTGGGATTAGAGGCGAAAGTCCTCTGCAAAAGTGGAAAAATCGCAAATATCTAGGCTAGGGAACTGTTGAACATAAAAAGAAGTAAAACAATACACTGTACTACATCAGTAGTTTTAAAAATTTAAAATTACAGTATCAACAATGTATACTAATAACATGAGAGAGACAATACGTGTATTGCATCACATACTGTCTGTAGAGAATTTAAAATTAATTAAAGTTTACAGTACGTTTCGTAAACAAACGATAAAAGTTGCGAGATAAGCTACACCTCACACTTACAAGCAAACGGTTAGTAGTGATTCAAACATGTTCCAGATTATTATACGTTGCTTGAAAGTCTCAGGTGTATCACGAAACTGTTGACAAGTTGTCTCCACCTCGATTTTGTTTGGTTACTATAGCCATATTAGTAACCTATAGGAAAATGCATTAATATAAGTTATGTTCTAGAAATTATACCGATTGAGTAAACGGAGGGCTACAATATTAGAACAGTGTTAAAAATATAAAAGGAACTAGAGAATAATTTTATTAAAATTTCAATTAATGAATAAATTAATTACTTATGCGTACTTATGGTAGATGAAAGGAACCTACCATATCGTGTAGTCGCCTATTATCGGATAGTCTTATCTGGTTTTGTAAGTGCAGCCATCTACGGCTTTCTAATAATTATTAAAGCGCAATAACATGTCAGCACTGCAGTGATTTATATCGAACAGTTGTGAAAATGGCGTTAAAGAAATACACCGTTTTGATATTATGTTTTTATTATATTTGCGTGATAAAGCTCATTACCTGGAAAATATTAACTAATTTTTACTCAGTATGTTCGTTGATTCCTTATATCGGATATCCGATTTTAGGCATACTTTATTTTTAAGTTGCATTCTCGTTGTTTTTAATTGAAGTTTTTATTCTTTAAATTTTATTATGGCTTCTAGTAAAGCAATGAAAAACCTATTTGTGAAAAATAAGTTGAGTTTTCTGAAAGCTTCGAAGACATTCGGTGTCCCTAAAAGTGCATTAGAAAACTGTAAAGAACTCTTAACTTTTCCGGTTGTCCATATTATTTTTTATGAGCATAAGTTTTTATTTTGAGGTTGTTCCTTTTGTTAATATTTTCTTTGGAAGCGGTTATATGTCTTGCTTAATATGGCATTACCGTGTATTTATAACAATAAATAAATAGTGAACTCAAAACAGATAGATAAGATGTTGCAAGCTAAACTTAGTAGAGAGCTTGCCGTTAATTCCGAAGTTGAAGATGAGCTTGTAAAATATTGTTTAGAAATGTAGAACAGCAACTTACATTAGTGGTGGCGTTTCAACTAGCCATCATATTTCACACCAGTTTTCTAGTAAAGGCCAAGTGGAAAAAATGGCTGTCAGCTTTTTAAGAAAAGACCCATAACTGTCATTCCGGATACCCGAAGCTCCCCATAGCTATGCAAGCAAATGGTTTTACTAGAGAAAAAGTGTCATGTTTTTGGATAAGATCTCTGACCTGAATGTGCAAAGTTGGGATGTGACCCTAAATACATCGGATATCCGATATTATAAGAGCCTCTGATCCAGTATCAAATTTTCCGTTTTATTTTTTTTAAGGCCAATAGTTGCATTTTTTAATGTTGTTAATGTTTAGTTACTAAATTCGTTCTAAAATCTTAAAAGTGTGTTAACATCTCCTACTGTTTTTGTTAACTTTTGATTGAGTTAATCAAAAATCATCCGATTTTCGGATCTCTTCCTTTACGTATCAAAATCAGGCATAAAGAAAATGAAAATAAGAAACCGTTCATAATGTTAATTTTTGTGTAGTCTATTATATTAGATTGTTAGTTTTTGTGCCACTTCTAACTCCCTCCCTTCCTATAATGATGTACTTTTAGCAAACCCCTCCCCTTTAATTACACGCCAATAGTCCATAAATATGTTGACATCGAAGAAACAATCAAAAAGTTCTGCAATATTTTCTGTTAGTAAAAATAACATTAATTTCATATGATTAGGAGCCACTATCAGCCCCTAAATTTTCTCTGGGCCCGAGGAAAAATTCCCGGCTCTTCTTTCTCTCGACGACTCTGCTCGACTCCTTATCTTAACTTTTCGCGACCATCCTCCCTCTTAAACTGTGCACCTAATAGATGA